TATATAGAAGGAGGGACGTGTAACATAGAAGGAGAGAGGTGTTATATAGGAGAGAGGTGTTATATAGGAGAGAGGTGTTATATAGAAGGAGAGAGGTGTTATATAGGAGAGAGGTGTTATATAGAAGGAGAGAGGTGTTATATAGAAGGAGAGAGGTGTTATATAGGAGAGAGGTGTTATATAGAAGGAGAGAGGTGTTATATAGAAGGAGAGAGGTGTTATATAGAAGGATAGAGGTGTTATATAGAAGGAGAGAGGTGTTATATAGGAGAGAGGTGTTATATAGAAGGAGAGAGGTGTTATATAGAAGGAAGGAGGTGTAATAAGGCCACGAGACTCCATCATTGTACTAGAGGGCCAAGTGTGGGCCAGCAGCCAAAATTCCATCACCACTGCCTCCTCCATCACTACAAGCAGTGCTACTAATAACACTGCCTCTGTTCCGCTCCCGTCGTAACGCTTTGCGACGCCCGACGCGTCGGAGAGACGTATGGCTGGCGTCGTACGTCACCTGACACACGATAGGTGCCGCCTCAGGTGCTATGCTAATGTGCAGACACCTGGGTGCTGTGTGTGATGTGTCGTGTGTCAGGTGTTTATGTGTGGTTGGATGGGAGTCGGTGTTTTACGCGCTTGTTTTAAATGGTGTTTGTTGAGAGATTTAATGTGTGGGTGTTTTTTTAGGTGTGTGTGTGTATGTGTGTTTTTCGTGTTCGGTGTTTGTCTCTGTCATACGCGCGTGCAAGCGCGCGCAAACACACACACAGGTACATACACACACAGGCGCACACACACATACACACAGGCACACACAGTACTCACCTAATTGTGGCTACAGGGGTCGATTCATAGCTCCTGGCCCCGCCTCTTCACTTGTCACTACTAGGTCCTCTCTCTCCCTGGTCCGAGAGTTTTACCATACCTCTTCATAAAGCTATGTATGGTTCCTGCTTCCACTACATCACTCTCCAGATTGTTCCACTTCCTGACAACTCTGTGGCTGAAGAAATACTTCCTAACATCCCTGTGACTTCCAACTGTGACCCCCTTGTTGCTGTGTCCCCTTGATGCTGTGTTCCCTTCTTGCTGTGTCCCCTTGTTGCTGTGTCCCCTTGTTGCTGTGTCCCCTTGTTGCTGTGTCCCCTTGTTGTTGTGTCCCCTTGTTGCTGTGTCCCCTTGTTGCTGTGTCCCCTTGTTGTTGTGTCCCCTTGTTGCTGTGTCCCCTTGTTGCTGTGTCCCCTTGTTGTTGTGTCCCCTTGTTGCTGTGTCCTCTTATTGCTGTGTTCCCTTCTTGCTGCGTCCCCTTGTTCCTGTGTCCCCTTGTTCCTGTGTCCCCTTGTTGTTGTGTCCCTTGTTGCTGTGTTCCCTTCTTGCTGCTGCGTCCCCTTGTTGTTGTGTCCCCTTGTTGCTTGTGTCCCCTTGTTGTGTGTCCCCTTGTTGTTGTGTCCCCTTGTTGCTGTGTCCCCTTGTTGCTATGTCCCCTTGTTGCTGTGTCCCCTTGTTGCTATGTCCCCTTGTTGCTGTGTTCCCTTCTTGCTGCGTCCCCTTGTTGCTGTGTCCCCTTGTTGCTGTGTCACATCTCTGGAACATCCTGTCTCTGTCCACCTTGTCAATTCCTCTCAGTATTTTACATATCGTTATCATGTCCCCCCTGACCCTCCTGTCCTCCAGTGTCGTCACATCGACTTCCCTAAGCCTCTCCTCCTGTGTACTCACCTAACAATGGTTGCAGGGGGTCGATTCATAGCTCCTGGTCCCATCACTGGTCGCTGCGAGGCCCACCCTCACCTTATCGTAACCCATCTTAAAGCAACGTAAGGATCCTGCATCGACGTGTGTACCTATGTTTGCATGCATGTGCACATACGTGTGTATACATGTGTATATCTGTGAATGAGAGACCTTGAGAGAACGGCAGGTTTCTTGCCCGGGTTTCACTGCCTTTGTGCTGTTAGATTCTGGTATTCCCTGAGGTACAGTGATCTGTTATGTATCCCAAGGATATTACAGCAACTCACACGGCTCTTGATCCACGCTCCTGGAGCTCTCTTCTACACTACTTAAACAGTATAATAGAATTGTAAAAAAGAATAATATTAATAATAATAATAAATAATAATAATAATAATAATAATAATAATAATAATAATAATAATAATAATAATAATAATAATAATAATATTATATACACTGAGAGGAGTATATCTCAGTGTATATACACTGAGAGGAGTATATCTCAGTGTATATACACTGAGAGGTGTATATCTCAGTGTATATACACTGAGAGGTGTATATCTCAGTGTATATACACTGAGAGGTGTATATCTCAGTGTATATACACTGAAGGTGTATATCTCAGTGTATATACACTGAGAGGTGTATATCTCAGTGTATATACACTGAGAGGTGTATATCTCAGTGTATATACACTGAGAGGAGTATATCTCAGTGTATATACACTGAGAGGTGTATATCTCAGTGTATATACACTGAGAGGTGTATATCTCAGTGTATATACACTGACAGGTGTATATCTCAGTGTATATACACTGACAGGTGTATATCTCAGTGTATATACACTGAGAGGTGTATATCTCAGTGTATATACACTGAGAGGTGTATATCTCAGTGTATATACACTGAGAGGTGATATCTCAGTGTATATACACTGAGAGGTGTATATCTCAGTGTAATATACACTGAGAGGTGTATATCTCAGTGTATATACACTGAGAGGTGTATATCTCAGTGTATATACACTGAGAGGAGTATATCTCAGTGTATATACACTGAGAGGTGTATATCTCAGTGTATATACACTGAGAGGTGTATATCTCAGTGTATATACACTGAGAGGTGTATATCTCAGTGTATATACACTGAGAGGTGTATATCTCAGTGTATATATACACTGAGAGGTGTATATCTCAGTGTATATACACTGAGAGGTGTATATCTCAGTGTATATACACTGAGAGGTGTATACCTCAGTGTATATACACTGAGAGGTGTATATCTCAGTGTATATACACTGGTAGTTTACATTAACCAGTATTTTAGGTATTAAAGTATTCTTGACTGGTGGTGACCAGGTGACCTGCAGCCTTAATGACCCTGGTGTAGTAGATAGACTTTAAACCCCATTAACCAACCAACCAGTCTTAATGACCCTGGTGTAGTAGATGGACTTTAAACCCCATTAACCAACCAACCAGTTTTAATGACCCTGGTGTAGTAGATAGACTTTAAACCCCATTAACCAACCAACCAGTCTTAATGACCCTGGTGTAGTAGATAGACTTTAAACAACATTAACCAACCAACCAGTCTTAATGACCCTGGTGTAGTAGATAGACTTTAAACCCCATTAACCAACCAACCAGTCTTAATGACCCTGGTGTAGTAGATAGACTTTAAACCCCATTAACCAACCAACCAGTCTTAATGACCCTGGTGTAGTAGATAGACTTTAAACCCCATTAACCAACCAACCAGTCTTAATGACCCTGTGTGTAGTAGATAGACTTTAAACCCCATTAACCAACCAACCAGTCTTAATGACCCTGGTGTAGTAGATAGACTTTAAACCCCATTAACCAACCAACCAGTCTTAATGACCCTGGTGTAGTAGATAGACTTTAAACCCCATTAACCAACCAAAAATCGTCATCTTCGCACTACCATCCACAGGATGGATATGAGGTACACAATAAACTAGCCACTACCATCCACAGGATGGATATGAGGTACACAATAAACTAGCCACTACCATCCACAGGATGGATATGAGGTACACAATAAACTAGCCACTCCATCCACAGGATGGATATGAGGTACACAATAAACTAGCCACTACCATCCACAGGATGGATATAGGGTACACATAAACTAGCTACTACCATCCACCAGGATGGATATGAGGTGCACAATAAACTAGCCACTACCATCCACAGGATGGATTGAGGTAACAAATAAACTAGCCACTAACCATCCACAGGATGGATATGAGGTACACAATAAAACAAGCCACTACCATCCACAGGATGGGATATGAGGTATCACAATAAACTAGCCACTACATCCACAGGATGGATATGAGGTACACAATAAACTAGCCACTACCTTCCACAGGATGGATATGAGGTACACAATAAATTAGCCCACTACCATCCACAGGATTGGATATGAGGTGCACAATAAACTAGCCACTGCCATCCACAGGATGGATATGAGGTACACAATAAACTAGCCACACTACCATCCACAGGATGGATATGAGGTACACAATAAACTAGCCACTACCATCCACAGGATGGATATGAGGTACACAATAAACTAGCCACTACCATCCACAGGATGGATATGGGTTACACAATAAACTAGCCACTACCATCCACAGGATGGATATGAGGTACACAATAAACTAGCCACTACCATCCACAGGAATGGATATGAGGTACACAATAAACTAGCCACTACCTTCCACAGGATGGATATGAGGTACACAATAAACTAGCCACTACCATCCACAGGATGGATATGAGGTACACAATAAACTAGCCACTACCATCCACAGGATGGATATGAGGTACACAATAAACTAACCACTACCATCCACAGGATGGATATGAGGTACACAATAAACTAGCCACTACCATCCACAGGATGGATATGAGGTACACAATAAACTAAGCCAACTACCATCCACAGGATGGATATGAGGTACACAATAAACTAGCCACTACCATCCACAGGATGGATATGAGGTACACAATAAACTAGCCACTACCATCCACAGGATGGATATGAGGTACACAATAAACTAGCCAGCTAAGTGGCAAAACCAAATCAATATTTACATTATTGCTAGCTGAGTTAGTTGCTGTCAGGAAGTGGAGTTGTTGCAGAATATTCCCTGCCTCCATCCCTCCCTCCACCGTGGAGGACACCTCCCAACTCCAGGTGTGCTGGGATATATAAAGCAGGTGTGCTGACCAGGTATCACTACTGTCCAGGTCTCACAGCTGACACAGTATGAAGGTCCTGGTAAGTTGAACTTTGAGATTACTGTGATTACTCTGATTACTGTGATTACTGTGATTACTGTGAATACTGTGATTATACCACAGTGTAACTTCAGGTATATACGCTACATGGTGTGTATATATCTTCATATTTACTGAGAAATATACATTTCCCAGTGTGTATAGCTGTAATACCATCATTTGTTTTTATAGACCACTGAGATATATATATATATATATATATATATATATATATATATATATATATATATATATATATATATATATATATCTTGGTATATCTTACTGACAGATGCCCAGATATACCAATCTCTGTATATATACATTTATATATACATTTCGCTAGACTAGCACCATCTTCAGATCCCTCAACCATCTGAGTACTAAGACATAATTGGTTGTTCCAGCTGGTTCTTGCCCTGGGCATGCTTGCCCTGGCTGCTGCCCTGCCCACTGACATCATTGACATCGACGAGGACCATCTGGAACACGAGCAGGACGGTATACCCGGCCGGGCAGTGGCGGGAGAGTACTCCTGGGTCGCTCCTAATGGCGAGGAGTACAAGATTGAGTACATTGCTGACCATCTTGGCTACAGAGTACTAGATGACAATGTTCTGCCCAAGGCACCTACTGTGGACGAGGAAGCTGATGAATAGTACCTAACGAGGTACCTACTGTGGACGAGGATGCTGATGAATAGTACCTAACGAGGTACCTACTGTGGACGAGGATGCTGATGAATAGTACCTAACGAGGTACCTACTGTGGACGAGGATGCTGATCAATAGTACCTAACGAGGTACCTACTGTGGACGAGGATGCTGATCAATAGTACCTAATGAAGACCTGTACCTGAGGACGGGCACCAGGAGCTGCAGCATAACATCCTGTAGCAACTCAACAACATCACAGATCGAGTTCAACTTCCCAGGCTAAAAATCCCTTTAAATATAAATAAAACTGATTATATTATTACTATTATTGCTGTTATTATTATTACTATTATTATTATTAAGACAACACCGCTTCCCACTAAGGTACGGTACTTCCCTCCTTCAGAGTGCAGACACTATATTTCTCTCCTCCAGGACTCAAGTCCAGTCCGCCAGTTTCCCTGAGTCTCTTCCTGACACTCCAACAGCACCTCAAGTCCTAAAAACTATTTGTCTCCATTCACTCCTGACACACTCACCCACGATGGAAGTCCAAGCCCCTGGTGTACAAAACCTCCGTGACACCCCCCTGGAGGTGGGAGGTACAGTATTGCACAGGTCTACAGGATCCTAGACTTCAGGTCTACAGGATCCTAGACTTCAGGTCTACAGGATCCTAGACTTCAGGTCTACAGGATCCTAGACTTCAGGTCTACAGGATCCTAGACTTCAGGTCTACAGGATCCTAGACTTCAGGTCTACAGGATCCTAGACTCAGGTCTACAGGATCCTAGACTTCAGGACTACAGGATCCTAGACTTCAGAACCACAGGATCCTAGACGTCAGGACTACAGGATCCTAGACGCCAGGTCTACAGGGTCCTAGATTCAGGTCTACAGGATTCTAGACTTCAGGTCTACAGGATCCTAGACTTCAGGTCTACAGGATCCTAGACTTCAGGTCTACAGGATCCTAGACTTCAGGTCTACAGGGTCCTAGACTTCAGGTCTACAGGATCCTAGACTTCAGGTCTACAGGATCCTAGACTTCAGATATACAGATCCTAGACTTCAGGTCTACAGGATCCTAGACTTCAGGTCTACAGGATCCTAGACTTCAGGTCTACAGGATCCTAGACTTCAGGTCTACAGGGTCCTAGACTTCAGGTCTACAGGATCCTAGACTTCAGGTCTTACAGGAGTCCTAGACTTAGGTCTACAGGGTCCTAGATTCAGGTCTACAGGATCCTAGACTTCAGGTCTACAGGATCCTAGACTTCAGGTCTACAGGATCCTAGACTTCAGATATACAGGATCCTAGACTTCAGGTCTACAGGGTCCTAGACTTCAGGTCTACAGGATCCTAGACTTCAGGTCTACAGGATCCTAGACTTCAGGACTACAGGATCCTAGACTTCAGGACTACAGGATCCTAGACTTCAGAACCACAGGATCCTAGACTTCAGGTCTACAGGGTCCTAGACTTCAGGTCTACAGGGTCCTAGACTTCAGGTCTACAGGATCCTAGAACTTCAGGTCTACAGGATCCTAGACTTCAGGTCTACAGGATCCTAGACTTCAGATATACAGGATCCTAGACTTCAGGTCAACAGGGTCCTAGACTTCAGGACTACAGGATCCTAGACTTCAGAACCACAGGATCCTAGACTTCAGGACTACAGGATCCTAGACTTCAAGACTACAGGATCCTAGACTTCAGGACTACAGGATCCTAGACTTCAGGACTACAAGATCCTAGACTTCAGGACTACAGGATCCTAAACTTCAGGACTACAGGATCCTAGACTTCAGAACCACAGGATTCTAGACGCCAGGTCTACAGGATCCTAGACTTCAGGACTACAGGATCCTAGACTTCAGGACTACAGGATCCTAGACTTCAGGTCTACAGGGTCCTAGACTTCAGGTCTACAGGATTCTAGACTTCAGGACTACAGGATCCTAGACTTCAGGTCTACAGGATCCTAGACTTCAAGACTACAGGATCCTAGACTTCAGGACTACAGGATCCTAGACTTCAGAACCACAGGATCCTAGACTTCAAGACTACAGGATCCTAGACTTCAGGTCTACAGGGTCCTAGACTTCAGAACCACAGGATCCTAGACTTCAGGGCTACAGGATCCTAGACTTCAGGTCTACAGGATCCTAGACTTCAGAACCACAGGATCCTAGACTTCAGGACTACAGGAACCTAGACTTTAGAACCACATGATCCTAGACTTCAGGACTACAGGACTCTAGACTTCAGGACTACAGGAACCTAGACGCCAGGTCTACAGGATTCTAGACTTCAGGACTAGAGGATCCTAGACGTCAGGACTACAGGATCCTAGACTTCAGGACTTCAGAATCCTAGACGTCAGGACTACAGGATCCTAGACTTCAGGACTACAGGATCCTAGACTTCAGGTGTACGGGATCCTAGACTTCAGGACTACAGGATCCTAGACTTCAGGACTACAGGATCCTAGACTTCAGGACTACAGGATCCTACACTTCACCTTACGAAAACAGATCTAAGATTCCACATCCTCTTATTTTTACCCTCCCTAGAGCCTTATTTAACCTGATTTTCCTCATATCTGTCCGTATTTCACTGCCTTGGACGTTAAAGTACTTTCTAGTCCTTGATTCCAACCGATACCACCAGTATCGGCGTCGATGGAACCCGATTAAAAACACACAAGAAACTAGTGATGAACCTCCATAACGGCGGCGCCTCACCCGCGGCCGCTGACCCTGCCTCCCCAGGCCTATAATCGGAATTTGTAGGCCTATGCAGCGTCACATTTTTATACTCGATATTTAGGTAAATTACAAAAAAATACACATTATTATTATTATTATTTTTATTATTATTATTATTATTATTATTATTATTATTATTATGATTATTATTATTATTATTATTATTATTATTATTATTATTATTATTATGATTATTATTATTATTATGATTATTATTATTATTATTATTATTATTATTATTATTATTATTATTATTATTATTATTATTATTATTAAATTTTTATTATTATTATTATGATGATTATTATTATTATTATTATTATTATTTATTATGATTATTATTATTATTATTATTATTATTATTATTATTATTATTATTATTATTATTATTTTTATTATTATTATTATTATTATTATTATTATTATTATTGTTATTATTATTATTATTATCGCCACAAGGAGTGCGCTAAACCCATATGGAGTGATACAGGGGGTGGATCACGGTCCCTTTACAAACCATCCCCTTACTGGCTAAGGGGATGAAAGGGGGCCGACCGCCCCCCTAATCTGCATCTCATTTGCATAAACATGACAGAAAATTAGGTCTGCGACCCCCCCGCCTCTCGTGTCTTAATTTAGACGGTCTCTCTCTCTCTCTCTCTCTCTCTCTCTCTCTCTCTCTCTCTCTCTCTCTCTCTCTCTCTCTCTCTCTCTCTCTCTCTCTCTCTCTCTCTCTCTCTCTCTCTCTCTGTCTCTCTCTCTCACTCTCTCCCACTGAGAGATAGACACACTCTAACCTCTCCCACTGAGAGTTAGTCTCTCACTACCCAGTGGCGACACCTGTAGGCTCACACAACAACAATAAACTTCTCTGTCGCCAGCATCATTCTGGCCCCGTCTGAAACACCCGGGGCGCCACCAGCATCATTCTGGCCCCGTCTCAAAAACTCGGGACGCCACCTGCATCATTCTGGCCCCGTCTCAAATACCTGGGGCGCCACCAACATCGTTTTGGCCCCGTCTCAAGCACCTGGGGAGCAACCAGCATCATTCTGGCCCCGTCTCAAACACCTGGGGAGCCACCAGGAATATTCTGGACCCGTCTCGAAAACCTGGGGCGCCACCAGCATCATTCTGGCCCCGTCTCAAACAGCTGGGGCGCCACCAACATCGTTTTGGCCCCGTCTCAAACACCTGAGGCGCCACCAGCATCATTCTGGCCCCGTCTCAAAAACCCGTACGCCACCTGCATCATTCTGGCCCCGTCTCAAATACCTGGGGCACCACCAACATCGTTTTGGCCCCCTTTCAAACACCTGGGTAGCAACCAGCATCATTCTGGCCCCGTCTCAAACACCCAGGGCGCCACCAGCAACATTCTGGCCCCGTCTCAAACACCTGGGGAGCCACCAGGAATATTCTGGCTCCGTCTCGAAAACCTGGGTCGCCACCAGCATCATTCTGGCCCTGTCTCAAACACCTGGGGCACCACCAGCATCATTCTGGCACAGTCTGAAACACATGGGGCGCTACCTGCATCATTCTGGCCCCATCTCGAACACTTGGGGAGCCACCAGCATCATTCTGGCCCCGTCTGAAACACACGGGGAGCTACCTGCATCATTCTGGCCCCGTCTCAAACACTTGAGGCGCCACCAGCATCATTCTGGCCCTGTCTCAAACACTTGAGGCGCCACCAGCATCATTCTGGCCCCGTCTCAAACTCCTGGGGCGCCACCTGCATCGTTCTGGCCCCGTCTCAAACACCTGGGGCGCCACCAGCATCATTCTGGCCCCGTCTTAAACACTTGGGGTGCCAACAGCATCATTCTGGCCCTTCTCAAACACCTGGGGCGCCACCAGCATCATTCTGGCCCCGTCTCAAACACCTGGGGTGCCACCAGCATCATTCTGGCCCTTCTCAAACACCTGGAGTGCCACCAGCATCATTCTGGGCTTTCTCAAACACCTGGGGCGCCACCAGCATCATTCTGGCCCCGTCTCAAACACCTGGGGTGCCACCAGCATCATTCTGGCCCTTCTCAAACACCTGGGACGCCACCAGCATCATTCTGGCCCCGTCTCAAACACCTGTGGCGCCACCAGCATCATTCTGACCCCGTCTCAAACACCTGGGGTGCCACCAGCATCATTCTGGCCCTTCTCAAACACTTGGAGTGCCACCAGCATCATTCTGGCCTTTCTCAAACACCTGGGGCGCCACCAGCATCATTCTGGCCCCGTCTCAAACACCTGGGGTGCCACCAGCATCATTCTGGCCCTTCTCAAACACCTGGGACGCCACCAGCATCATTCTGGCCCCGTCTCAAACACCTGTGGCGCCACCAGCATCATTCTGACCCCGTCTCAAACACCTGGGGCGCCACCAGCATCATTCTGGCCCCGTCTCAAACACCCGGGGCGCCACCAGCATCATTCTGGCCCCGTCTCAAAAACCCGGGGCGCCACCAGCATCATTCTGACTCCGTCTCAAACACCTTGGGCGCCACCAGCATCATTCTGGCCCCGTCTCAAACACCTGGGGCGCCACCAGCA